CAAATCAAAATAGTCACATAAAATAGCCACATGGACTCAAAACTCTAAACTTTTAGAATAGTAAAGGACCTTTAGAATATATGTCTTAGTTTTATATGCAGTTAAAAATACTGTAATTATATGAACTGTATAAGGAGTCCTGGTATACTAGTGCACTACATGTTGGGCTGCTAACCATAAGGTCAACAGTTCGAAGCTATCAACTGCTCCGCAGGAGAAAGATGAGGCTTTCTGCTGTCTTAAAAATGTACAGCCTTAGACATCATATACAGGGTCACTTTTAGTCAGAGTGACACTATGGCATATAACTAACCACCACCACCATGAACATGAACTATATATACTTTAGCCAAGTTTGAAATTCATAAGGCAGAAAGAACCCAGCATTAAGAGACAGAAGAAGGTTCCTGAGAAATCAATTCTGAGTGCTTTAGAAGCTACTGCAGGCATCTTTTGAGTTAAATCTTGACAACTTTGTTTCCATAAAACACATTGGCAGTTCCTTAAAGAGAGTATTGTTTCAATCAGTATTTAAAGATAAAAAAAAATTATTCATTGAGTGAGTTTTGCAGTTATTTGAACTGAAAGGTCTTTTAGGAAATCTGAGTAACCTATTATAAGACAGCCTCGGAAACCCTGTACAGGGTCGCTATGGATCAGGATTGACTCAACAGCACTTAACAACAATCTTTTGCAGTATTGCAGAAGAAACCTTTGAGGCTTTTTAGTTAGACTTTGCAAATTTTGTATGGTATCAGCTACTATTTTTTGCTTATAATCCATTCTTAAAATGCAATGTCACCAGGTTATAAATTGGATTTTGTTCTACTTGTAGAAATTACCTCAGTTTTCTTAGGCTGTACTAGTTTTCTTTTTCTTTGTGAGTCAAAAATTATCTGCACTCTGGTTATATTAAAAGGCCAGTCTACAGCTGATGACAACATTGAACGTGCATGTGAAATGATTCTGTCTAATAATCAAGTGACAGTGGATTATGTGGCAAATCATTTGCAAATTAGGCATGGCTCTTCCTATGAAACAGTTCACAACAGACTTGGGTTTCAAAGTTTGTAGAAGATGGGTACCGAAACAACTCACGGAAAAGCATAAACATAAGCGTTTGGACATCTGCAAACAAAATTTGGACCGATACTCGAAGGAAGGTAAAAATTTCTTATAACAGAAATCATTACTGGTGATGAGTCATTGGTTCATCACTATGTGCCTGAGAGTAAACAGCAGAGTATGGGATGGAAACATCCTCAATTGCTGACCAAGAAAAAGTTCAAAAGTCAACCATCAGCTGGAAAATTGATGGTTACAGTTTTCTGGGATTCTCAAGGGCCAGTATTGGAACAGAATCAGGAGAAAGGTTCAGCAATCAACAGTGCTTGTTATAGTGAGATACTCATTGAAGAGCTGAAGCCTGAACTTTGGATTAAACACAGGACTGCTGTCCAAGGACATTGTGATCTTTCATTAAAATGCATGTTCCCACACCTCTGCCCACACTGTCAACACTCTGCAGAAACTTTATTTTGAGGTATTCAAGTGTTCCCCTTATAGTCCTGATCTTGCTCTGTTGGACTTTCACCTGATTGGTCCCCTGAAAGTAGCCCTTCAAGGACAAAGATTCACCTCTGATGAAGTAGTGAAGATAATGATGTATCTGAGGCTCGTAGCTCTGCCTAAATAATTTTTTAGTAAATGAATACAAAAGCTTGTTGACAGATGGACAAAGTGTATTGAGAAGCAAGGAGATTATGTGGAAAAATGTTGTATTTGTCTTTTCTAAAAGTTGATTAGAATAAATTCTACAGCCAGAGAGCAGATAATTTTTGACTCACCCTCATATTTTTATATATAGAATATAAACTTATTTGTCTGAGACTTTTTTTCATACCATATATACTGATACGTATCTTTGGTAATTTTTTGTGTTCACACTGTGTGAGATCCTCCTCATGTGTTCACAATACGTATTCCCTTGCTGATTCTCCAAGGGCAGACTCTTGTGTTTTCATTCTGGTGGAGCAGCAGCATACTGATGAAAGATTTTGGAGTTAGACTGACTCATCTAGATTCAGATTCTGGTCTGCCATGTAACTGTTGACATTGAGCAACTCCAGTACACTCTTGAGCTATGGTTTCCTCAACTAAAGAATTAGATGACTATCTATTTTATGACAGTGTCACAATTGAGACTCTCCTGATTGAGCACACTGCTTGTCATCTTGATTGTTGTTGTGTGCCATCATAGGTGGTAGTGTGCCATTGAATTGGGTCTGACTCATAGCAACTCTGCATAGGGTTTCCGAGGTTCTAAATCTTTAAGGGAGCAGAAAACCTCCTCTTTCTCCTGCAGAATGGCTGGCAGTTTTGAACTGCTGACCTTGAGGTTAGCAGCCTGACTTGTCATCACTACATTCCCAGAACTCCTTGTGTGCCATCTAGTAGATCCTAAGTAGATTGTGTTCCAGGTCTCTTCTCCTGGTTATTTCCTTAGTGCACTGTCTTTTTTTAGTGCTTATTTGTTGAATGAAATGGTATGTGAAGTTAACACATACAGCATAATTCAACAGATGTATTAAATACATGTTATGAATAAACAGCTATGCTTGATACTATGGGATAAGACTATCCACAAGGAGTTTACAGTTTTTTGGAAAGATTGGACACATGGACATTAAATACTTCTGAAAGAAATACTACATATGAAAAGAGTAGCTTTGTATATCTATCCAGAACATGGGGTATTAGCAGATTCCTCAGTATCCCCTTAAACAAATTAATTTCAAGTTAGTTTCTTTCCACTTAGCCTTTATTTTTAAGCCTGATAAAAGAATGTTGATGCTGTTAACTGCCATCGAGATGGTTCTGACTCATGGTGAATCCCAAGGTTCTGAGGAGTGGCTGATGGGTTTGAACCAATGAGCTTTTCGTTAGCAGTCCAGTGCTTACCCTACAGTACCACCTCAGGACTCCATGATAAAGAATGTTGTTGTTGTTAAGTGCTGTCGAGCTGGTGCCAGCCCATAGCGTTTCTGTATAGGGTTTCTGAGGAGCAGTGGTTCAAACTTTTCCTTGTAGTTCAAACTGATTTTGCAGTTGAGCGCATTAACCCATAGCACCATACAAGGACTCCACATGATATAGAACAAAACAGTGTTAATTATAATCACCATGAGCTGTATCGTGTCATGTCTTAACCAACTAGCTTAGTGACAAATGCTGCACACCAGTTACACTAGCTACTGTAGCATTGGGAGGGATTACTAATTTATATAGCTTTTTGAATTTTGACCTTTTCTGTAATAAACTGGATGTCTAAGTTAGTTCTGGCATCTGGATTTTGGAAGGTAATTGTTGTTATAATAAAGTATTGGGAGAGTAACCTGCCTATGTATAATTGCTACAACATTATCTGGCACTTGTCAGATTTTCTTATTTTCAAAAAAATTGTTTAAATTAGTTTTAAATTATACTTTATATAATGACATTTCATGAAAGAGAATGAATGGTGTTTGTTTTATTTTTAATTTTTTTAGTATTCCATGTAATTTTTCTCTTTGTGAAATTATACACCTTTTCGCTAATGATAATATGGAAAGAATATTGATATCAAAGCTCAGAGATCTGAGTTTTAATTTCAACCTCTGTGTCAATTAGTAGATTTTTCTCATTCACAGTATATAAATTTTGGATTGAATACTCTTCCGTATTGTATGACTTCCTTTAGTGTTCTTAAAATTAACTGTAAAATTTAATGGGCCTGGAGTCTAAGTTGATTTTAGGAATCCTGGTAGGATAAACACTGACTGCTAACCACATGGTCCACAGTGCAAACCCACCATTATCCCATGGGAGAAAGATGAGGCTTTCTGCTCTTGTCAAGATTTACAGTCTCAGTAACTGGACACAGGGTTGCTATGTGTTGAAATCGACTCTTTACTGGGTTTGATTTTGGGTATGATAGGATTTTTTCATTGAATGACCAGATATCTAGATTATAGTGGTTATGCCCAAAGTAGCTAGATCTTAGCTGAAAAAATAACCATAGTTACTATCTAATTTTACTTCTAGAAAGAGATCAGCTAGAGATTATGTGACAAGTGGATGAGAGACTTGTGCGTTCTAGGCCAGATTGACTACCTACCAGGAGAAACCAAATTGAGTGGGTTTTGGTAAAGCAGGTCGATAAAGTGAACCTTGGAAGCTAGGTAGTATTTTTGGCCAATTAATCCATCTACTCAATTGGCGTTATAGATTAACCAGTTGTTGTTGTTGTTAAGTGCCAACAAGTCAATTCTGACCCATAGCGACCCTGTATAGGATTTCCAAGGAGCAGCTGTAGGCTTGAACTGCTGACCTTGCAGTTCAAACGGCTTTGCAGTCTGGCGCATTAATCGACAGCGCCACACCAGGACTCCAGAATAACCAGTAAAGGGAGCTAAATTATCACATTTAAAAATGTAGATGTTTACTAAGCAAGAAGAAGACAGAGATACTGTTCTCTATTCTCTTATTTTGATACATACCTTTTTTTGTTTTTCAAAAAGACAAAATATTAAAGTGGCATAAAATATATTTTTATTTTGAGAATTAAGGTTTTGGAGGGCTAGGAAGACTTGATTGTGTGTGGTTTGGAAGGTTAGCCTACAGTTGAAAAAGGAAGAAGAAGTGAGTAGAAGGGAAAATAAAGCAGAAATTGTAATGGCAACTACTTCTATGAAAATAGTCTGATCTATTTTAGACAGTGTGTCCAAGTTCATTCTGAGATTTAATAGATCACTATTTCCTGTCTCCACAGTGAAAGTATAACCTAACTTTGGGAAACAATTTCCCAGTTGTTCTGAGAATGTAATTCAGAACTTCATGTCTTTATTATTATTGCTTTTTCTGTTACTCTTTTATTGACTCATTTTAGCAGTTCATAATTCATAGACAGGGACCTTAAGTTAAACAGTTTATATTTTTTACCTGGTTTTGTTTCTGTACAGTCATGGTCAGAGAGACACAGCACAGATTCTTTTATTACGAGGAGCGAAATACCTGCCAGATAAAAATGGAGTAACCCCTTTGGATTTATGTGTACAGGTATGTGTTTAATGTATGAGCCCCCTTAGCTTTATAATAAAAACTGAAACTGATAAAATTACTTTTTTCTTAAATAAGAGGTTGGTTATTAAGATTTTTATTATGTGGTGAACATGATCTTTAAAAGGAATTAGCTTTTAAACTTAATTTTAACATTTGTTTTTAGGGTGGATATGGAGAGACTTGTGAAGTATTAATTCAGTATCACCCTAGGCTTTTTCAGACAGTTATTCAAATGACACAGAATGAAGATCTCCGAGAAAACATGGTAATTCGTTTCTTCTAGTAGCTTGTAAATGAACAATCTTTATTCTTGCTCAATATGTATGACATTTTATAATTTGTTTAGTATTATATATAAACTTCAGTGTTTGAATTTGCTTATCTGCATTACAGGACAAGTATGAACTCTATAAGAAGCAGCCTGGGTAGCGTAGTGAGTTATGTGTTGGGATGCTAACTGCAGGGTCAATCGTTAGAGTCCAACAGGCGCTCTGAGGGAGAAAGATGAGGCTTTCTGCTTCCATAAAGGTTTACAGCCTTGGAAACCCTATGCAGGGTTGCCATGAGTCGGCACACAACCACCACCACCATCATATTAAGCAGTACATTTTGTACTCATATTTGCTCCTGAATGAATCTTCTGTCCTCTTGGTCTTTGCTCTGTACTTAGAATAACTAAAATATGAGGTAGCTTCAAAGAGATTGTCGAAAAATGGAATTAAAAAGATAATGAAAATTTTCCACGAATTTTTTGAAGCCTTCTCATATTTCTAGTAGGCAGAGGAAAAGAATCCAAGAAGAAATAAGTTATGCTTAATAACCACCAGTTTATTCAACTTTATATTTATGATAGTTTTACTCTTTGCAAAATTGCAGAGTTAAAGCTCAGTAAATTTTAAAAGTTTATTAGTAAATTTTCATAAATGTGGCTAGTAATTTCTGTCTTACCTATTTATATTTTTTATTAGTTTTGGCTGGATGATTTTGAACAAAGATTTTATATTATTTATTAACTCTTGAATGACTGTAAAGGACTTAATTGCAGGTAACTAACTTTGTTGTTGTTAAGTGCTGTCGAGCAGGTTCTGACTCATAGCAACTGTATAGGGTTTCCAAGGAGCAGCTGGTGGCTTTGAATTGCTGACTTTGTGGTCCACAGTCTAGTGCACCTCCTTCATGTGCCACACCAGGAGGCCAATAGAAGAAAGGACTCACAGGCCCCAGAGATACTTATTAAACTAATTAGTGCCTTTTGTAAAATGTAATGGATTTGTATATAATTATATTTTTAAATTTGTAAATTAGTTACGGCAGGTTCTGGAGCATTTGTCTCAGCAGAGTGAAAACCAATACCTAAAGATTTTAACAAGCCTTGCTGAAGTTGCTACAACAAATGGGCATAAATTGCTTAGGTAAGTACTTCAAAATACAGGTGAATCAATAGATCACAAGTATATTTTAGCTTCATCTCTTTTTAGGTTTTTCTGGGAATAAATTATTCTGTTGGATGCTTTTTGTCAGTGTTAAGATGTCATAAAATTTGCTGACTTGTTATCATTGTTTTGTTTAAAAGGACCGGGACAAACTATCATTAATGAGACTATTAAAATGTGGTATTATTTGAGTGGATATGTATGTGTCTAGTAGTTCATAAAGTAATTACTCAGACTAGTCATATAGTAAAATGTCCTTGGAAAAGAATCGATAAAAAGATAGGAATCTTGATCACTAATTTATAGAACTGAGTACAGTGTAATATTGAATATTCAGTATACCCTCATGATTCTTTATAAAATTTTCTCTCAGAACTGCCTCCCTTTGTTCAATTGGTTATTTTTCCCAAAAAGATCCCATGCTTTTAATGGTTCATCATTAAGTCTATGACCTAAGTTGCATTTATACATCTGTAGCATTTTCCTACAACTACATTTGCTGGTGTGGCGCTGTAGGGTAAGCACTGGATTGCAAACCACAAGGTCAGCCATTCAAACCCAACAGCTGCACCTCAGAAACTCAAAACCAACTCCATGGCACTTAACAACATCAGCAGCAAAAACATTTCTTTGTTTGCGGTTAGCCGCCCTGATGGACAAGCAGCCATTGAGAAATGGCCAAGCAGTTATTCGTTCTTCACTTACAGAGTTGACCTACTTCTTGATTTGGGTGCTTTCCTCTTTGTAGTGTTCTTTTTACCAATCCCTTGTGATCTTTTCCTACATTGATAGTCTTAGAATAGGTCATTTTCCACCTATATAGTTTGGGCTTTCTTCCTTCTAGCCCCTTTTCTCTTCCATAAATCAGTGCTATTGTTAGAAACATTAGATTAGCCCTTTGGTCCAGTCATTTTTGGAACTTTTCGTATTGGTGGTCCCTGACTTTTAATGGGCTTCACTGTGATGACTGGAGTCCTGGTGTGGTGCTGTGGGTTAATATGCTGCACTTTAAGTTCGTTTGAACCGCAAGGTGGGTAGTTCAAACTCACCAGCTGCTCCTCAGAAACTCTATACAGGGTTGCTGTGGATCAGAACCGACTCAGCGGCACTTAACAGCAGCAATTGTGAGTTAGTCACAAGTTAGTCCAAACATAAGTTGAACATACTTTTTTTTCATTGTTACTGCCTTTTATTCTCACTCCCTGTATACATATTTGGGAGTCCTGGTGTGGCACTGTGGGTTAATGTGTCAGACTGCAAAGCCATTTGAACTGCAAGGTTGGTAGTTCAAGCTCATCAG